TTTAGTGTAATGGATTTTATACGTGTTTTTCAAAGGGATTGAACTTTGTTCTAAAACAAGTATGGAGAGTGTGGAGTGCACGCTTGTATTAGTCTAAGTCGGTCCCGGTAATATTTAGGGGGCAACGCCCCCTGAACGCAAAACGGGGCCCGAAATTATATAAGTATAGGGTTTATAATGGAAAATTCTTGATTTTTCTGTGGTATGATTGTGAATCCTATAACTTGGTAACTCCCGTTTTCACAGTTTTGAGTTTTAATTTTGGATGATCAGTTTTGGGACAGATACGAATTTTGAAGACACTCTATATTTTTCTCTAGTTTTGATCTTGATTTCTGCCAAAATAAAGATTGTTGCTTTTACAATTATCCCAATTCGGATTTCGTGATACCAGGCATATACGGTCGAAATATCGAATTTGGAAAGTGATTCACACGATTGTAGAAGAAATCCGGTTATAATTCAACATTAGTGTTGCATTCTCTAAGGTATAGTATTGTTAGAACCGTCATTGATAGGAATACAGAGTATCATTGTCCACAAAACAGTAAATAAGGCATTACGGTTGTATAAGTTATCTACTATGTTCAATCAACTCCTATAAGAAATGAAGAAATCAAATAATAGAATTAAGGGTAAATGAAAAATTACATTGGGCAATGGAAGTTGCACAAGTATGCCATGTACTGACTCCTTGCGATTTAACAGCGAAACAACAGCAAGCACTTCATGTTCTGTAGAGTCTTCAGGAAGCTCTACTACGACAGAGGCAATCCCAACTTCTTCACAAGCTTTTTTCTTGATGCTTACAAAAGAGAAGGAGTCCTTTCTTTTGCCCACCAATATTACACCTAATCCAGGTACCTTCCTGATTGAACTTTTCATATGACGAATTTCGGTGGCTACTGTAGCTTTAATATCATTTGCAATCAATTTCCCATCAATGTCTGCTGCTGCATGCTCATTATCTGGTTTTTTACACACACCATTATCCAAAAAAGTCAGCAATGCAAGTCAATACCTTCTCAAAGGAGAACAGGGTATGCAAAAATGCATCAAAAAATACAAAGGAATGAATTGTATAACATCTGAAGCACTCTACTTTTGACTGCAATTGTAATACAGTGAGAGATTGAGACCACATACTTCTCTTTCTTCCGTCTTCCAACATGTAAACAGCAAGCAGATACGAAAAGCAATCTGATATGAATCTCTCGCTTCTTCAACACCATCCTTCTCATTTAACTATGTTATCCTCATTCATCAGTCTCTTGTCCCTCTACAAAGGGGTTGTATTAAGCAATTTACAGTCCTGAAGGCATCAGTAAACTCACATCGAGACTGCAAATGTGTTTTTACAGATGACTCAAAGAATGCACTTCTAAATTCCCTTAGAATGTTAGCACTTAGCAACTCCGTGTTTCAATTACCAAGGTAAACCAATTTGGAGCATCACAATCCTTTACTTCCTAATCCACTGAGAGTAAACAAAATCATCCACACACCGTCTTGCCAATTATCAGTTGAAAAACGAATTGAAAAAGCGAAGTTATAGCACCTTATTAGTTAACAGATATGCACCATTATATGATTGCTGACTTGTGAACTGTGACTAACAACTCCATCCCAAAGTGTCCAACTTTTCTTTTCCTAGACAGCCTGTAATCTGGATTCAGAGGTCAACTTTTGAAAGGACACATTATGCTCCCATGCTTGTGAATCAACCCTTTAAAAGAGAAAGGACGGTAGATTGAGAAAAACAATGGAACCAATTGGTAAACACCTTCAACCCTTCCGTACTCCTAATTATATGGAGTAAGTTCATTTAGACAGCAATAGTACATGGATATCCATATAAAACCTCATGGTGGTTCTAACTGAATCCTTCTTTATATGAGGCAGACCACGGATTTTTTTTTGCCAGACACTATCATCTTACGATGGAAAATCATGAATTTTCTTGCTGCAGAGTGCAGTATCCGACATAGATAACAAACAGTCCACATTGTGCTGTTGTTAGGGAAAATTTGATCACTTTGAGTAAAAAGCAAGATGTGGGGGAAAAGTAGGATTTGCAAGGTCCCAAGTCTCGGAGAATTCGGAAAACTTGGCTTTATGATTGTAAAGCATATAGGCTCCAGTGGTAGACTAAAACTGCCCCTAGTATATGGATCAGAATTCATATCAACAAAATATGGAAAGCATGAGGAGGTAGACTGCATTTCATAGAAGGAAAATATGGAGTGCAGTCAACTTTATATCATGTTCGAATTTTAGCAAACATACAGTATTCTCTCACCTGTCCTTAACCTTAGGTGTGTTTCTTCGTTGTTTCAACTTTGTATTTTATTCTCATTACTTAACTCCCTTTTATTTGTGTGGTCGATTTGTTTCCATTGTTTCTAAATCCAAATACATTTTGATTAAAAAGGTCAGAAATACCAATTTTTTTATCTTAAATATGAACTGTTCAAGCTCTTCTGATGGAAGTTACATTAAATTTATATTGAAAACTACACAAGAGAAAATCTAAATCTGTAACCATATTAACTTTCAACTAAAGGTCATTAAGCTTGACTGAAATTTCAGAGTCCATCACATTTCGGGGAAAAAATCTAGCGCCACCTAGTCATACCATAGAAAGATTGAACTTAAAATGGTATATTTTTTCCTGAAAACTAAATTTGAAGAAAGAATCAAAATCAAAATGCTCAGACACTTTTACCTATGGAAAAGGGACTCGGTCTACGAAGATGGATACAATCAATCAAAATCATAATCCCAGCAACAAGAAGATAAACAACAAATCAACTGATACCGAGTCCAGTTCACAACAAAAGCAACAAAAAATTGTGAAATTAGAGTCCTGTAATATGATCAATGTTTACCAGCCATGTTCACATACACCAATAATTTAGGTGGGTTGTGTAAATGTAACTCGAATTCGAAATAAACAACTAAAACCAATCGAATAGTCGAAGGTAGATACTTAAGAGTTAGCAATTCAAAGAAAGGAGACACGAATTCTTACAGGCATGTCTGAGATACGGCGAAACTCCAGACGGCGACGACGAAGGATACCAGATATCAGGTCGGTCTAGGTAAATAAGAGGCTTGGCTAAGCGACTTGGCGAAGCAGAAGAAGTGAAAGACTTGCAGCGCCACCAAACAGCCATCCGACCTCGCATCTCAACAACCACGAGGAGAAATGAAAATCAGTGTCAAAAGAACACAAAAATGATCTTCATTTGTGAAAACTTGATGGTTGACAGCGCAATCGAGATTTTAAGGTTGTTAAAAAAAATAATGATTTATTTTTAAATAAAATATAAATTTAAAAATATCATAAAAATTTAAAAATAAATATATCAATATAAATATCAAATAAATTTTTTAATTTTTTAATAAAAAATAATTTATTTTTTATTTTATAAAAATAATAATTAAATATTTTGTTAGAACTTAATAATTATCTTAATTATATTTTAGATTTTTTATATTAAAATAAGGTGTTTATCTTGTATTTGATTATGTTTTTCTGAAATTAGTTACACGAATTTAGAATGAAGCTTTAATAAGTTGTATTTATGTACAATCTCTTTATAATATTAAGTTTTAAGTAACATGCATTAATAAATAATAATTTATATATTAAAAATAGTTTTTAAGAATTTTTATCAAATATTTTATAATATAAATATAAACATAGATAATAACGAACACGAAAAATGAATTTGGGCCTGTCTGAGAGGATCCAGGAGAAATCCGTCTCCCGGGTGTCCTTTTTTATCAATAAAATTATATATATCTTTCATCTTAATAAAATAAAGAGTGAAAAGTCTATCTTTATGGTTTTCATTTCCAGCCTTTTTATGTTTTTGCTGATTTTCTTTTAAACATAAAAAACATTATCTTATATAATATTTATATATTATATTATTTTACGCACATATAAATAGACGAAAAATTATGAAAAAGTAAAGTTATGGTAAGAAGTGTAAGAAAATATTTAATCTTATGATCATATATTATTAGTGTTGACATTTAGTTAAGATCGAAGTAAAGTAAAGATTTCTCCTACACTTCTCATGTAACTTTCCATCTCACAGAAGCCCAACCTGTATAGATATATATGTATATACACATTATATATATACATACTAGAAGGGTATTCGCGCAATGTAACGAGATAAATCTCTATTTTAATGTTTAGATTTTATTATTTGTCTTTATCGATAATACGATTTTATGTGATTTTAAGAAAGCGATAATGTTTTTATTTTTGAATGAAATATAAATTTGAAAATAACATAAAAAATTATAAAAACATAAAATCGATATTAATATTAAATTAACTATTTAATAGTTCTCGTTTTTTTGTTGTAACTTTCTTTAATTCAAATTTTTATTATAATTTAATTTAGGTCTAATAACAAAATAATTTAATTTTGGTTTAATAATGTAATTTTTATTAAAGATAATAATTAAACATTCGGTTAGAAACTCAATAATTATCTTAATTATATGTTTATCTGCAGTTAGTTACACGAATTTAAAAATGAAGCTTTAATAAGTTGTACTTATGTAAAATCACTTGTAATATTAAATTTTAAGTAATATGTATCAATAAACAGTAATTTATGTATAAAAAATGGTATTTAAGAGTTTTTGTCAAATGTTTTTATAATATAATATAAATTTTTATTAAAGATAATAATTAAACATTTGGTTAGAAACTCAATGATTATCCTAATTATATTTTAGATTTTTTTTATTAACCTAAATATCCAACCCGCTATGTGAGCGGACTAATCCCATGACGACCACCTGCTTTGCACATAGCCCGGAGTCACCGCGTTTGAACATACGTGGCCACAAGAGGATTTTTATTTCTCCGTGGATTTTTATTTCTCCTTGGATTTGAAACTCCGTGGCCACCGCATTTGGATTTTTATTTTAAATTTTTATATTTAAAATGAAATGTTTATCCTGTATTTGATAATGTTTATCTACAGTTAGTTACACGAATTCAGATATGAAGCTTTAATAAGTTGTATTTACGCRCAATCTACTTGCAATCTTGAGTTTTAAGTAATATGCATTAATAAACAATACCTTACGCATAAAAAGTAGTTTTTAAGTGTTTTTGTGAAATGTTTTATAATATAGTATAGATATATAAACATGCACACTATATATACAAGCTAACACAACTGACAGGTTACGTATCGGTCGTGTCTTCTTTTCCTCGCAACTCCGGTGAAGTTTAACTCCATCGATCTGCAACTCCGTCGAAGCTCAACTCCATTGAAGCTCTGACCTGCCAACTTCATCTCCCCCTACTACACACACACACACACCCTAACTAGTAACTACAAGCTAGCCACCTCAAATCGAGATCAAAGCTCCGACATGTTAAGACGCACATACACACACTGTGCAAGCTTTGACAGCATCTACGATACCTGCAACTCCTCTAACACACACTCACTGTAAATCTTCATAGAAGCAAAAAACACTCACTCAGTCTGTTTTAATGAGTTGATGCATGTGTTATAGGTGTGTGTTTGTGTGTTTTGTGTTACAGGTGAGGTGGTTGAAGGAGTTCTTTTCCTAGGATGAAGAATGAAGATGATGACGATGGGTGTATGTATATATTATATATTTATATGTATATAATATAATATAATATCTATACTATATTATAAAGCATTTGACAAAAACTCTTCAAAACCATTTTTTATGCGTAAAGTACTGTTTATTAATGCATATTACTTAAAACTCAAGATTGCAAGTAGATTGTGCGTAAGTACAACTTATTAAAGCGTCATATCTGACTTCGTGTAACTAACTGCAGAAAAACATAATCAAATACAGGTTAAACATCTCATTTTAAATATAAAAAAATCTAAAATATAATTAAGATAATCATTAAGTTCTAACATAATACTTAATTATTATCTTTATAAAATGTTATATTATTAAACCAAAAATAAACTATTTCGTTATTAAACTTAAATTA